TTGCCGACTGGGCCAAATGCTTAACATTTATTTATTATTAACATTATTATTACTATAACCATAGAGAAATTGTGCAAGCGATAAAAACCCGTCCTATGCGCTGTTGGCCCGTAAAAACTATTTTATTTATATATATTTAGAAAAAATCTGACCGGCCCATATTAAACAAAATGGTCCGGCCCCTCTGGCATTTGGCAGAATTGCCAGATGGCCAATCCGCCCCTGCTAGCGACGCCCCTGCCCGCGGGACCCAATGCAAATGTCGTGGGGGAAGGTGGTTTTACATTTACTGCTAGAGGGAATGGGCGGACAAACAAATGTAGTGTAGGTCCTGCCATCCCGCAGTCACTCGATTTGGAGCATACCAAGAAACAGTTGTTTACAGTGTTTGGTCATACACTGATTACATTACTTGCCCACCGTGGCACCGCCCTTACTGTCGTTTTGCTTTTTTATAGAAATATAATTTTTTAGTTCAGTTGGGAGACGTACTTATACAAAGCGTCTGCTCTGCTCATACAGCCAGGGTTGCCAGGTCTGTGTGACAAAACTAGCCTATGCCAGATGCAGTTTCCATACCTAAAATACATATTTTATGGTCACTGTTATGCACAGCAGCTCAAAGGCTTCCTACCAGTGGCCCTCCTTTACAAAACTTAATATTTAGCACAGTTTTATAATACGTAGAATGCAAAATGTTTCAATACAAGCATTTCAGTCCAATGTAATTTATGCAATATTTCAAACCTTTAACCCACAGGGGACATCAACCCATGGAAGCAATTTAAATGAGATGGTGGATGATTTTGCTGCTCAACAGATCCTGAGCTCATTGACAAATATTTGATCTTGAAAGATGTGCTCCCTTTACACAGAGTGCGTGTGATCGCAAAATTGAAAGTGAAAGTGAGTGTTCATTCAAAAGCGATTTCAATACTCTGCATATTGTTTGCGTGAAAATTATTTACAATATCAGAATGTTTGCGGAAGCGGGATTAAAGGCCGTGATACACCAAGCCGCCTTCAAAGAACTAGCAGCGACGAAAGCCGACGATGTTGTCGCTTCACATCGGTAGCATCTGGAGCAAAAAGCTGTGCGTGCACACACCGAACAGACTACAGCTGACTGCAAACTAACACATGCATTCTCCACCTGCGTGAGAGGAATTAGCAGTCTATATCAGCAGCTATTAATACTAAATATTCGTGTTGAGCTCGAGTGCGCAGTCGAGTGCACCATCACTCGGTTACGAAAACAAAACGTTGTTCAGGGTTTATTCACCTCTTCAGCATGCTCTTTTTATTCAGCATGAACTTTTTACAAAACATCTGCATCAGCTTACTACAACATAGAAACGTAAACATGTAACAATATACGTCATCACTCCCATACCATAATACCTTCAAATAAAACAATAGGTAATTTGGCTGTTATCGTAATGCAATGTATAAGAGTGCAATAGTTAACAATTCATCATTCAAAAGAAGAAACCAAAACAAGGATATAAGATATACGAAATGTTAACAAAGCAGCACTTGCTTACCTTTTTGAATATCAGTTATATTGATAACTTTCTTCATTTTAATTGGCGCATGTTGTTATGAAATTATTCGCATATTGGAATGCTTGGGTAAGATCACGCAACATTAGAACAGCCTTCTGTCTGTGCCGCCTTCATTTACTTGCTCGTTTTCAACGCTTTCACTTTAATTCTCGGGCACCGACTCGTTCGCTAAACTGAACATCCAGTCAGAGTCTCACTCTCACCGATGGCCCAGACGCAAACTGCCGCAGACACAAGGAACACACCAAACCAACTAGCCCGACAGACGCTCGCCGACGACCGACCGTCAGCTTGGTCTGTCCCGGCCTTAAGAAACTAGGCTTGTGTTAATGTTGTAATCACAGAGAAAAGACTCCCAAAACCATTGTGAGCCTAAGGTTATCATAAACTAGTTGTGCCAAAGGTCTCTCCAGTCTATTCTGGCTCACAATGCTTTTTGGAAATGCGGCCAACTGGCATAAAATTAGCTTGATGTTGGACATTTGATATTCACAAAGTTTAGGGACCATCTCAAAAGTTACATACAACATTGGTATACATGTTTTGGTATACACGTTAGATTTTTGATAAGCCTGTGTATAAACTGTCAAATCATATCTAAATATGGCTAAATATACCTGACTCATAGATGAACAATGTACAGTTGGTTTTATGACCAAGTCATTCTCTCCAAATTCTATTAAAGTTAGAAACATGTATACCAATGTTGAAATTATCTGTAGAGATGGTCCCTAAACATGTGATATAAAGCCATCTTTAATGTCAACTGCCAGTGGGCTGCATTTCCAAAAAGCATTGTGACCCTGAGTAGACTGTAGAGATTTTTGGAGCAACTTCGCAACAAATTTTCCACACAATTCTTTTGGGAGTCAAGATTTTATCGTTGATTACAAAATGAATACAAGTGAAAATGAATACAAAACTATCCAAGTGTCATGTCTTGGGTATTCTTTAGTCTTTGATGCTACAAAGGCTGCATATCTCAGCTGCTACATCATCAAAATTTGCTGAAGGCCATAAATAAAAATCCTTTATTCAGCTGCATTTGAAGGATTCATGGGATGTATCCTTCGCAACCTTCAATCACCCACAATTATTTGTACACATTCACAAAATTAAACTGACGAAAAACGAGTCAGAATTGAACTTATCTCAATTTATTATGAAATTTAAGACAAAAATAATGTTAGATTACTCACTTAAATCTAAACTGCCAATAACAAGCCACTGGGAGACTGTTGACAGCTGTGATTCATTGTATTGCATTAATAGAAAGCCAAATAATATAAAGATTTTTTTAGTGATTTGTGTGATTTGTTTGTTTGTGAGTATTTTTTCCAAAATTAAGTTATATTACTATTTTGGTGCCAAGATGGTAAGGTTGGAAACATGTGTGACATAGACACACTTACTAGACTGTCTCATTTTAGTGGTTAATGCCGAGGAGGACTTGAACCTACAAGCCTCCCAATAACTGAACTAGGATTGACGCAGCATCGGTAGGATGCAGCTTTCCATTTGAGGAGCACCCAACCTAGAATCTCATCAACAATGTTGATGGTTTCGGGCTTAACGACGGAACTGTCAGGATAAGTAGCTCAATTCAGTTGCTATAAAATAATTTGACATAATAATGTGAATCGGGAAAAAAAATGGTTTGGAGCTTTGCAGTTGATCTCACACATCCCACAGCAAACTATGATCTCTATCGTTAGTTTGATCTGGCGCTTCTGTGTAAGCTCTCAACCAGTGATTCACCGGAGCCTCCCTCATTTCCTCATTCAAATAAATAAATGAATATATTTGGAAATAAATACATATGGTAATAAATATATAAAAAAACAAACACATGAATTTATATATTTAAATATAAATAAAAAGTTGATTTATTTTACTGCTATTTATTTATTTATCATTTCTGCAGGTTTGGTCCTCCATACAGTAGCACATTAATGTTTTTTTTTCTTTTACATGAAAGTCTCAGTGATTAGAGCTCAAGTGAAATTGGCTGTAGCAAAAAGTGTCATCATAAAGGACGTCTATGCAAACATGGATGAGTCTATGTCTCTATGGCCATCTTATATGCAAAAGGTGCTCATTCGTAAAGCAAAACATGTCGTGACTCTGATGTAATTGCTGAGATTCTTTTAGAGCTGTCAGATTAGGATGTGAGTGCAGTGGAGCATAAAAAATTCAATTTGCAGTTTTTCCTCACCTGGTGGGTCACGGAGTGTGCAGTCAAAGAAACAAGATAATTCTATGACTTTCTGATGTGAGACCTTTATTTTGAACGTCGAGCGTGAAAGCAGTTGACAGTTCAGTCAGAGGGCAGTTAAAGTAAAGAGTGGGAAAGAAAACCGTGTTGTTTACAAATAGCTATGAATTATTGGGTATCTTTAAAAGGACATAGGGATATACACCCAAATAAGTCTGTGTTTCATGAGAGTTGGGAACATACCCAAGACTAAATCAAAAGAATAGGATGGACAGGAAATAGAATGGCCCAAATAAAGGGTATAGATCAGTCGAAATTCTCTCATAGTGTGCCATTACCTGAAGTGCCTCCATGGTTATTTCCTATGCCTTGTATAGATACTCACGTTCAAGAACTAATTAAAGAAAATAAGGACTCGTCAGTTGAACATTTAGTAAATCAATTTATAAAACAAAAATACAGCAATATTTTTACAGATGGTTCAAAGGACCCAGAATCTGGAAAAGTAGGAACAGCAATATATGTTCCAAAGTACCAGGTAGCTATCAAAAAGAGAATTTCAGATAATTTAATGGTATTTACAGCTGAGCTTGTAGGAATACTGTATATCTGGCTCTACAGTGGGTGGAAGAAGTGAGGCTAGACAAGGTAGTCATATGCAATGACTCTTTATCAGCTCTAAAAAGTCTGAAATATGGACATTCTAACTGTAGACAGGATATAATAATAGTGTACATACTGCATAATCAAGGAATTAACATTCATTTTCTTTGGATGCCTGCTCATGTAGGAATAGAACGAAATGAGATAAGCTACAAATAATATATGGCCGCAAATGTGGCACAGAGGAACAAAGGGAAGACATTTATATAGAATTCAAGGAAATGTGGGTAAAGAAAGATGATTCACAACAATATTAAGAAGAAAAAAAGAATACATTATAACAAGATTACGTATAGGTCATACTGGACTTAATGGTAACTTATATAAAATTAAAAAGCATCACAATGGGTTATGCAGTCATTGTAATGTAGAAGAGACAGTTGAACATGCTATATTATATTGTACAGAGTTTGAAAATGAAAGATGAGTGTTGTTCATAAAATTGCAGAAAAAAGGAATCCAAGACACGTCATTAGAAATATGTTGGCAAGAAAACAAGGTATGAAAGATGAGGCGTTACAATATATAAAAGCAACAAGATTATATTTGAGAATATAATTAAGTAATTAAATAGTTAATATGAGTGTTATTTATGTATTTAGTTATAATAATTTGTATTTATGCATTTATTTATTTATTGTGTATTAAGGTATGTTTATTTATTTATTTGTAAGTTAATAAGAGTAGTCCTTCCTCATTGCTGTTCCACAATCCAGTCCTGTTGGTGGCGGTAATGCACCTAAAAGCTGGCTTGCCAACCGCCAATAAACAAAACAAGAAGAAAACTTCTTGTCCTGATTCACTACCTGCGGTCAGATAACATTGTCAAACTATATGTCAGTGTCATTATTTTAACATTATTTTCATAACTTCTTACAAAATAAAAAAGTTTCTTACCTCAGAAAAACAAACTTTCCTGTTCTGTCAGCCGCTATCCACCATATTATTCCCGTAAAAATGGGCGTGGACATTTGTAAACGTTAATAGCCTAACCTTATACTGTTTATTCATATTAGTCATATTCCTACATTGTATGTGTACATTAAAGTGGGGCAGTATTTGTGTGTGTATGTTTGTGCAAAGCATTTTTGTGAAATAAATTTGCTTTTATTATTTTAGGAATTAGGGCAAATTAATGAGGGGCGGTGCTAGGGGTGGGATAAGGGGGCTGAAGCCCCGAATGTTGTATTACTATGCCCCGTAAGCACCATCAGTGAGTTTTCACGTGCATTAAAATCATTTCTAGAAACGCAGATTTGCTCTCTGCACATTCACTAGCTTCTTGTCATTCACTACTGAGGCTCGTACTTCTGTGCGACATGTAAACTGACCAACCAGCGATTAAAAAGTTACAGCAGCTGCTTCAGGTAGCCTATCAGTAATTTACTGTATAACTTATCGCTATAATACCGATCTTGCTCATTTTATACTGAGGCTTCTCACTGTGAAGCAATAGATATTTAATCAATTATATGCAGTCTTCCTATAGGACACACACGCATTTAGAGCGATTATATGAACGGTTTGGTTAGCATGGTCTGTGGCAGACTTCGTGTCAGTGCAAAAATTGAATAAACAAGAAGTTAATATTAAGTGGCTTAAATTGTAAAGACAATATTGTCTTTTTTTGCTCTATTTTGCTAAAGACAAAAGGCATGTTGTTTGTCTCAGTGGCAACACACATAATTGTGAATTTGCATTTTGAACGGATTCATTCATAAAAATAGCTTCTTTCTTCGTTCCTGAATGAATCAGTCGTTTTGAAAGATTCGATTGAATAAATGACTCAGCGACTCACTTATTGTGGTCTGCTGCCACCTTCTGGCAATTGTAGTTTCATATTTAAATGTATTCTTTCTTTTTCATAGTTCTATAGCCTATTCCAATTTTTTTTTTAAATATATATATATATTTAAAACATAAAATTATTATTTATGCAAATTGTAAGTGCAGTGTAAATGCATATTCAAGTGCTAAAAATAAGTCAATATAATTATGCATGTTTAAATATGGTTTGTTAGGATAGGACAATATTTGGCCGAGATACAACCATTTGAAAATCTGGAATCTGAGGGTGCCAAAAAAAAAAAAATCAAAAATATTGAGAAAATCGCCTTTAAAGTTGTCCAAATGAAGTCCTTGGCAATGCATATTACTAGTCAAAAATGAAATTTACACCATGCTCCGTTGATGATGTCATGGGATTTAGGATTTAGACCAATATCCAGGCAATGGAGACTTAACATATCTTTACTCAATGATAATGCATTTATAACATTTATAAAAAATGAATTACAATTCTACTTAGATACTAACACCACTCCAGATATATCACCACTAATATTGTGGGACTGTGCTAAAGCTTATTTACGAGGACGCATAATTGCTTTTGCCAGTGCGAAAAAAAGGGAAAGAGAACATAAGCAGCAACAATTAGAAAATACTATTAGGAAATTGGAACAACAACATAAACGGACTCCAACCCCTGTATTACTAACAGAATTGACTGTAGCACGTAGAGAATTAAATACATTACTTTCCAATGTAATGGAAGGTAGGCTAAGATTTGTCAACCAAAAATACTATGAATATGGTAACAGAGCTAGCAGACTGTTGGCTCTCCGCCTAAAGAAACAACAATCCACAAACATAGTATCAAAGCTAAAATCTAAGAATTCATCTACTCTCCTCACAAAACCCGAAGAGATTGCTGAAAAGAAATTTACGAAATGGAAAAAATAACTTATTCCCTTAGACTTCAGATGAATATTTTTGAGGCAAGATGGAGTCCAATCTTAAGAATAATACATGATAATTGCTAACTGATTATACATAGTGGAGTGGATTATGTATGCAATTATATGTACATGTTCACAAAGCATGTGGATTTTCTTTTATATATGTTCTTAGTTTAAAAATCTTGAAACTGTGAAAAACACCTACTTCCTTTTTTTTTTTTTTCTTTTCTATCTTTGTAAATTTTTTCAAATGTCGGCACCCCTATTGTCTATCTCTGATGTATAACTTTTATAGCATGTTCTAATAAAAAAAGAGTAAAAAAAAAAAAAATGAAATTTACAAAATATGTTCATGAAACAGGATCTTTATTTAATATCCTAATGATTTTTGGCTTAAAAGAAAAAATGATAATTCTGACCCATACAATGTATTTTTGGCTATCGATACAAATATAGCAGAGCAACTTAAGACTGGTTTTGTGCTCCAGGTTCACATAGATAGATAGATAGATAGATAGATAGATAGATAGATATGCCTATTTTGCAGTATCTCTCAAACTTTTATTTACACATACAGTATATTTCTGTGTATAACTAGTTTCTCTGAGACAAATGAGGGTCCCTCTGAAAATGATGTGTCTGTGCCACCTGGTGGCCAAAGGTTGTAAATTAATGGCTATATGCATTCACAGCTTGTTCGTTCTTGAATTAAATCTTGTTAAACTGTGCTTGTTTTTCAGAATTGTTGCTATATTGGTACTGTTTTTTTTTGCATTTGGGTTACAATGTTACTTTAGAATGTTACTCAAATTTGGCAAAGTGATCTGGGAGTGGCTTGCTATATAAATCAAAGTTTGAGAATTTAAAAAGTTTAAATAAACACACACACACCCATAATGGCAGCTTTCTAAACTTTCCGGGATTTATTTAGCAGCCAACTAATGACAACTTACATCACAGCAAGAATCAGTGACAAGCTTTTGGGTTAAAGTCCTCAATGACTATCTCTTATTTAAACAATTTAAATCGGTAACACTTTAGAATAGGGAACACTTATTCACTATTAACTACGACTTTTCCCTTAAATAAATTCCTAATTTGCTGCTTATTAATAGTTAGTAAGGTAGTTGTTAAGTTTAGGTATTGGGTAGGATTAGGGATGTAGAATAAAGTAATGTAGAATAAGGCATTAATATGTGCTTAATCAGTACTAATAATTGACTAATATTCTAGCAATATGCATGATAATAAGCAACTAGTTAAGAGACCCTCAAATAAAGTGTTACCTTTAAATCATATTTAAAATTAGGGTGACCATATGTGCCCTTTTTCCCGGACCCGTCCTGGCCAGGATTTTAGATAAAAGTCCTTAATGATATTCTCACATTTAAACAATTTAAAACATTTTAAACATAACATATCTTGAACAGGCAGCACAATAAATATTTTTGTGATTGTAATAAGCATTCACTTTAGTATGTTGTTCAGTTAGCTTTGTTTTATTATCTAATGTTTTATGTAAGCTTAAACACGGCAGCAGAAGTGCTTGAAGAGGCTTTACATTGTTAATAAGAAATTATGAAGAAAATCTGAATCAATTTGACCTTTCCAGGATATCACGGTACTTTAACACAACCTGTGAATGAACACATTTTGTGTATTACATCACATGGTTTTTATAATCATTAACATTCATTCATATTATGGCATAAATTACTGTGCAAAATGCAGCTGTGCAAACAGACTCACGTTTAGGAGCGTTCACCTTCTGAATCACCCGTTCAGGGGTTTGAAACCAACTCAGTGTCACGTTTGTGAATCCTCTGTCAGCCAGAGCAGATGCCAACTGAAAATAGCATTAATACTGAACAAATTAGATCAAAATATGACAATACACTCAGATATTTTTATTCATAATACATTTTTTTTAGGTATATAAATTAAACGGCCAGTTATTCACACCCAAACAGGTTTTGAGACCCCCTGCATGTACTTTAATGTAAGTAAAGTATTAAAGTAATGATGTATTTTAGATGTGTTTATGTGAATGTGGTTATATATAACATGTATACCAGGGGCCTGTTTCATAAAAGACACTAAGTAAAGCGGAGATTGAAGTCCAAAACCTGACTTCAGATAACCTAACAAATCAATCGGCGCTAAAGCGGTTCCATAAACGACAATTTAAGTTCACGCAATCTCACTAATTGATCAAGGTTCAGTGAGTCAAGATAATTTGATGTGCATGCTTATTCTTAAGCAGCCCTTAATGTCGATCATGGATCAAATCGATCCACTGTGGCAAACAGTGAATATATTTATGCTGTTTAATGCATTTGAGACGTTGTGTTTTCCCCAGTGCATAACTGACACGTCACATAATTTTACACCTACATAATTTTTATGATAGCAGCAACTGTAAATCAAATGTAAGCTAGCTAATACAGCCCTAATTGCTAGTTCAAATGAGTTCATGTATAGGCCTATTCCTCTTACCAGTTAAAAAAGTTTAAAATCTGTTTTCTGTTTTTAATTTAGTGATTTTAACTTTTAATTTAGTGTTTTGAATGCTTCAAAAAACAATTTTAGATTGTGATGTTTTAATGTTCTACTAAAAACCATAAAAGGTACAGCTGTCATAAAACCTGAGAGAAAGCTGCATGGCTAGGAACTGTTGATCAACTGAATGCGCAAGTAGCAACTATCTTAAAATGTGTTTAATATACAGTATATATAAAACAATGCCATTAAATCTTGAGCACAATACATTAAACACAGTTGGTTGTAGCCTATATTTTTATTCATTTGATTTATTATTTAAGTTGCATTTTCCATATACTTTTATTTTTGGGCTGATAATAAAGTCAAATAATTGTATTTGAGAGAGTCAGTGGTAATATCATTGCGTTCCTATTGGTCAGTGTTAGAGGAGCTCAGCTTAGCCGGACCAGGTCAGTTTTCCAGCATGAGTTGCCACAGTGACTGAGCTTGAACTATGGTGAATTTTCTTTCTGAAATCAAATCAACTGACAATAAGTCAGACTAACTGAAATAAGCCTGGCTTTTTGGTAAACTTGTTTTATGAAACAGGCCCTAGGACTAAATCATTTGTCTTGGAGATGCTTAACTGTAGCCATAAGGAGGCACTGTAGACCTACTTCAGATTACTAACAAATTCCTCGTATGTGTAAACATACCTGGCAATAAAGCTCATTCTGATTCTGATTCTGATTCTGATTAGCATGAGCCTGTTGTCATGTGAGAGCATTCTGTCCAATTGTTTGGTACTTAAATGTGTCTTTTGTATAAGGTGATTTTCTCACTGGTCTTTGCAAATTTTCAGTTTTAATTGTTAAATTAAATGTTAATAATCAAAGCATGTCTAATTAAATACAATTGTGAATATTATATGATTAATTAAAAGTTTACAAACTATACAATTTACAAAATAGTGAAAATGTTACAATTTATTAAAAGTTTAACAAAAGTTAAATTTTAGGGCCTTATGAAATCTGTTTTGTTGTTTCCCCGAATTCTGTTTTATTTGACCCAAAACCTGTTTTGCATTTTAACTTGTATAATGAGATGCTGAAAACACCAGTGAATTCGTGTGTTTGAGTTTGTGTAGTAAATGAAACCGTGTCATTCATTCATTCATTCATTTCGTATTAACAGACAAAATGAATGTATAGCGTGATTTGATCCATTTGTACAGCCCTGCGTTTGATTTATTTATCCCAAATTTCACAAATTCCATGACATTTTATTCGTGTTACATTCAGTTCCTTTTTTATGACAGAATTGTACTTTGCAAAATCAGATGCTCCAATTCAGGTTTTATAGGATTTTTATTTGATCTTACTCTCACCTTTTCCAGAATGATTTCTCTCATTGTCTGGTCAGTCAGATCAGCTTTGGAGTTCAACATCATCTTTAAAATTGATCTTTTTAAAACAGGACCTAATCAAACAAGCATTATCATACATCCATATAAATACATAAAAACACAAATAGTTTGGACCCCAGACAAAGACACATTATTAGTTGGGTTTGAGTTCATTAAAATATATTAGTGCTGCCATAGCAATATGAAAATATAATTATTAGTTATATAATCTTAATATGTGACCTTAGACCACAAAACCAGTCTTTATATTCGTAGCAATAGCCGACAATACACTGTATGGGTCAAAATTATCGATTTTTTTATGCAAAAAATCATTAGGTAAAGATCATGTTCCATGAAGATATTTTGTAAATTTCCTACCATAAATATATCAAAATTTCATTGTTGATTAGTAATATGCATTGCTAAGGACTTCATTTGGACAACTTTAAAGATGATTTTCTCAATATTAAATTTTTTTTGGACCCTCAGATTACAGATTTTCAAATAGTTGTATCTCGGCCAAATATTGTCCAATCCTAACAAACCATACATCAATGGAAAGCTTATTTATTCATCTTTCAGATTTTAAATTGTCCCTTACGACTGGTTTTGTGGTCCAGGGTCACATATTAAAACTAATAATTTTTGTCATTACAATCAACTGCTACAGATATACCTTCTCCAAAAACCTCCACCTCACACAGAGTGAGTATCTTCATGACTCCAGGAATGATAAGATTCACGTAACGTCCCTCCATCCCACCGCATGAGTAGCTGTAAGAGCCTCCTGGAATAGCAGGAATAACAGCACATCTACAGACAGAGAGAAACAGGTGAGGGATATAAAAATGCTGTCATATCTGCATCAATCATTTCACATTTGTGCCGGATCTCTCATGATCTTCCAGCCACAAGTTTCTCACCTGGGATTGTTGTTGCCGTTGTTCTCCAAAGAGTTTCCGATGCGAATCTCCGCTCCGTTTATTTGTTCTACACAACAGTCGTTTCTGTTGGTGACCACCACTCTACTAACATTGTACACGTTACTCAGATCCAGCCTCCACCATGGGTTAGTCTCAGCAAGGGTTGAGGAGCAGCCTCCTTTACGTAACCCATGAAGACCCCGATTACCATCAATGGCCTTTTCAGCAAACCAGTCCCCAGATGTTGATGACTGTGTAGTGCTTCCATTTGAGGCCAAATTTCCTAGAAATCATGTGAAGAAAAGTGTGTGAGAGAGTGTTTTTTTTTCTCCTCTGATACCAGCAAAATAATCAAAGACGCTCCTACTAAAAAAACATAATTGGCTGAGCCCGTTGGGTAATTTTTTTGGTTATTTTGTTAAGTGCTGAGTAGGTTTTGTGTAAACAAGCTGTGTTCAGACACATTTTCCACTGGTCAAAGATCACTTTCTACATCTGAAATTCACATTTGGTGTTAAAGGTCCCATATTGTCAAAACTGAAATTTCCTGGCTTTTTTCATGATTACTGAGGTCTAGGGGCTATTTAACTACCATATAAGTTTAAAAATGTAGACGCGCCCATAACAACAAAAGACAATACTTTATTGAACCTTTTCTGATAAGAAGTGTGTGCTGCAAACGCGAGCATTTTTGACGATTGTTTCTGTCCAGTCTGCTCGTTTTATCGCGTTTAACCACAGCTGTTGTTGGTTTTTTTGTCTGGCAGTGGCAGCAGATATGCGATCAAATTTCTAATTTGAGGCTGTATTACGTGGATTCTGGCACCCAACATCACAACAAGATGATATTTTAAGCTCCTTATGTAGCCGAATCTGCGCTGGTTTGAATGGGCCGCCTCCAGTTTCCCCTTTGTTTTGCTGCCTCCAGCTAGTGCTGTGACATCGGCTGACCCTAGTTAGCTGTGGTTGGCCTGGCCGTGCGTCACTCAGAACACAACAGGCCAATCAGAAGAGAGGCTCATGAATATTAATTAGACAGACCAAAATCGACCTGTTCTCAGCAGAGCTCCTGAGAGAGGAGCTGTAAAAATATATTGAGATGATTTTTGGTACTTATACCGCAAATATATATTCTTAAGGACATCAAAACCTAAAATAAAACTCCAGAAAGGTGTACACTATGGGACCTTTAAGACTTCAGAAAATTCACCAATGGCTGTCCTATACTGACTATACTCTTCACATTTAATGTAAGTTTTTAATGCATGACATGATATTACAAATTGAAAAGTGCTCTATAGCTAGGCCAGGACTGGCCATCGGGAGAACTGGGATAATTCCTTATTATTATTATTATTATTATTATTATTATTATTATTAATATTTCCTGCCGAATGTACAAAATAATTCACCAATCGATAATAAATCTCTAATAAATCATGAATCGGTTAGTCTTGACTGACAACGCTATCATTCGGCTCACATGTGCTCCGAGCCTCCGCCAAACGGTTTTGATGAGTATTCAATGCGAGAGACTTGACAATGGAGTGGAAGGTGAAGCAGAGAGGCAGAACTACTGACTTGTTCAGGACTTCAAGTGCAGGTACCAATCGATAATAAATCTCTAATAAATCATGAATCGGTTAGTCTTGACTGACAACGCTATCATTCGGCTCACATGTGCTCCGAGCCTCCGCCAAACGGTTTTGATGAGTATTCAATGCGAGAGACTTGACAATGGAGTGGAAGGTGAAGCAGAGAGGCAGAACTACTGACTTGTTCAGGACTTCAAGTGCAGGTCAGTTTCATCTGTAAATAGGCATTTGAAGTGTTGTCTTTGTTTACTTAGTTAAGCATAAAATTGCTAGCAACTGTTAGCAGTAACACCCCATTGACTATAATCACTCAAAATACTGAAGCCTATGCTAACATCATTATTATCTATTGCAAAGTTACAGTGGTAATTTAGACAAATATTCACATTCAGGGCTGTACGTTAACCTTTTTTGCACATAGCACTGGTGCTACAGAGGTTGAATGTTTTGTAGCACAGGCCAAAAAGCTGTAGCACACGAATAAAACGTCTGTTTATCATGTCTGAAAACAAACACAAGTAATGGAGTTCATGACTTAAACAGGCATTGATGTTCCATACAGAGCACAGAAAATACAAACCATCACAAAAATTGTTTTTAGACAAAGTTTTTTTCTTTATTTGCTAAAAATGGCCACAACAAAATATTAAATAAAAAAGAATGGCAGACATTTAGGCCAAAGTGAGCAAAGATAAAAATCT